AACACGATAAAAATTACATCTTAAGTTACAAAACTGTCACATGACCACTCCTGCAGTATTGTAAAAAATAATATTCTTTGTCTCCTAGCCCTAATCTTTCATGAATTAGGGCTAGGAAACAAAGGAAATTGAGAATCAACCAAGATTAAATCAAAATTAACTTGAAACCAACTTTGACCTGTCAAATATTACAAATATTATCAGCATTACATAGTAACAACATTCTTTAGGTCCCCCAGCAGTATAACAAATGTTGGTCAGTCCTTTATACTCTCTCATACAGGTAGGTACAATAGTAATTCTGACCTGTTTGTTTTGGCAATTGCCCTAACCATACATGTATACCCAAATAATGATAATAAAATCCCTCACAACAAAGCATTAAAATGTGTAGCCATGATGTTTAAGTGACATATCTACTTCCAGTTTACCAGAGCTCTCTTAAAATGGTAACTAAGTGCTTGATTTCCTGTCATTCCACAAACCTCTAGACTAGTATGAGCATGTTATGCAACCCTCCGAAAAAACACACACAAAAAAAAAAGGGGAATGCCTTATGATAAATGCTTGACAAAAGATTGGCTTCATCAATAACAGCTTCTTTTGGTGTCAATTCACAATAGCTGCGACTGCAACGTTAACTGATTCCCCACTTTGTGACAAAGACATCAGCTTAAAAACATCAAACTTTCCCTGACCTAATATGATGTCATTGTTGTGGCTGTGTTTCATAACTACAAGTTGATCTTGCCTTTTTTTCTTTAACTACTTTTAATTTTCTGTGAGACACTAATAATTCTTTCTGAGTTTAAAATTTATGTTTTAAAATTCTCATTGCTTTATTACATGGATTTGAATCCAAAGTGCTTTGACTGGCACTACTTTTTTGGTCTTAAGGTCACTGATTCTTTCTGTCATTTCCAACAAATGATCAGTTTTCATTATAAGATTTGCTTTCTTTTTATAGTTTTCTGCCTTTTCTCCTTTAACTTTGTCTCCTTTTTACTCCTACCTTCTAAAACAACCACACAGAAAACTTAAACAAAATCTGTGATGCCAAAATTTCCCTACAAGTTCCCAGTCATGCATGAACAAACAAACCTTTCTGGAGGAAACATGTAAATTTGTACACAAAATTAAAGACTCCTTAATAAGACAACCAAATGACAAAGAATCTTATTTTTACTCTGAGCTTTATGTCTACTGTAAAGTGATCAATCAATGCCTAGAAAATTTTAGGATTTTGTAGCATGAAGCTTCGCACTTAACTGAAATATAAAGTACCTTGATGACCTCACTAAATCCTTAAGTGAGAAAAAAAATTAATAGAAATGTACCATTGATCATTTTAAGCATTGCACTGTACTGTAAATTAGTGATCAATCAATGCCTAACAGAAAGGATTCCTCAGCATAAAGCTTCGCACCTGACTGGCATATACCTTGATCACTTACCATTGTGCATGTAAATGTAGCAGCCAAACATTCTATTAAAAATTTGTGGAAAAATAAAGAAACTTGAAATATTATCAGAACTGATTTGCAGTTAAGGTCAAATGATGCAGCTGACTACAAAATTGTCTTTCTTCCACCATGTCCATGGAAACTCGTGAAGTTGCTGATCTATTTATTACTTAATTACAAACTGTTATCTGCAAAACTGGTTTGATGTTAAAATAGTCTGAAATTGTTGTAATTCACTCTATCAGTTTTAATGTAGCATTGGTAACATCGACACTGTATATATACTGCCTACAAGATTCCAGTCAAACATAAACATACAAAACGTTCTAGAGGAAACATGTAAATTTGGACACAAATGACTCCCACATGTACCTTTATATCTTGATAAGAAAACCAAATGACAATGAACCTTATTTTTATTCAAAGCTTCATGTCTACTGTATAAAAGTGATCATTCAATGCCTAGAATTAGGATTCTCCAGCATCAAAGCTTCGCACCTAACTGGAATATACCTTGATCACCTTACAAAATCATTATTAGAGGAAAAAAAATAGAAATGTACCATTGATCATTTTTAATAGGCATTACACTGTACTGTAAAGTGATAAATCAATGCCTAACAGAAAGGATTCCTCAGCATAAAGCTTCGCACCTAACTGGCATATACCTTGATCACTCACTATGTACATGCAAATGTAGCAACCAAACATTCTATTAAAAATTTGTGGAAAAATAAAGAAACTTGAAATATATTATTGGAACTGATTTGCAGTTGAGGTCAAATGATGCAGCTGACCACAAAATTGTCTCTCTTTCACCATGTCCATGGAAACTCGTGAAGTTGCTGATCTATTTATTACTTAATTACAAACTGTTACCTGCAAAACTGGTTTGATGTTAAAATAGTCTGAAATTGTTGTAATTCACTCTATCAGTTTTAATGTAGCATTGGTAACATCGACACTGTATATATACTGCCTACAAGATCCCAGTCACACATAAACATACAAAACATTCTAGAGGAAACAGTCATGTAAATTTGGACACAAATGACTCCCACATGTACCTGTATATCTTGATAAGAAAACCAAATGACAATGAACCTTATTTAATTTTTATTCAAAGCTTCATGTCTACTGTATAAAAGTGATCACTCAATGCCTAGAATTAGGATTCTCCAGCATCAAAGCTTCGAATATACCTTGATCACCTTACAAAATCGTTATTTGAGGAAAAAAAATAGAAATGTACCATTGATCATTTTTAATAGGCATTACACTGTACTGTAAAGTGATAAATCAATGCCTAACAGAAAGGATTCCTCAGCATAAAGCTTCGCACCTAACTGGCATATACCTTGATCACCATCTATGTACATGCAAATGTAGCAACCAAACATTCTATTAAAAATTTGTGGAAAAATAAAGAAACTTGAAATATATTATTGGAACTGATTTGCAGTTGAGGTCAAAAGATGCAGCTGAGTAAACAAAATTGTCTTTCTTCAACTATGTCCATGGCATTGAAACTCACAAAAGTTGCTGATCTATCTATCACTTAAGTACAAAATATTATCTGCAAAACTTGTTTGATTCCAAAATGGTCTGAAATTGTTATATATAAAATTCTTTCTATTAGTTTTATTAAAACTAATAGAAAGAATGACAAAGAAAGAATGACATACCTTTCAAACGGCGATGCAATCCTTCGATCCTTTACGAAACAAATGAGAGAAAAAAACATGGCAATTGTCTTGATAAGAATCTTCTATCCACGATCTATCTCTCGCTTGGAGTAAAATCGCTGAGTTTAGTGAAAATCAAACTGAAATTCGCTTAAAATCTTGAGCGTCCCTTGACTTGACCGTTGAATTGAAAGGCAGCCCGCCTGAACATTTCAAACATGCGCGCGCAGTTTGGTAGTGTGCAAGGATTTATGGGAGTGACGTGTATATTTTGGTATCCAAGCCCCGCGCTATCATTATGTCTTGGCGGGAAAGCAAAATTACAATAACCTATAAAATGTTCTTACCTGGTTGTCCTCGGCCTCTGCCTTTACTATCCTTTTAAATTTTAATATTTCCTTAAAATGGGGAAATAAAAATGGCATTCTTTGTCGTCCTCATACATTGTAACCATATCATGATCATGTCCATGACGGGCTCCTGTCTCCGTCTAGAAAATCATCTATATTAAAATGGACAGATTCAGAACAACGATCTTCGGTTCAATATGCGCCATTTAAGAAATCTTTGTGACCCAAGACGACTTACCTGAGGGCTCTTTCCACCGTTGCTTGTGTAAACTTGTTTGCCTCTAACCATGTCTTAACTTGCTCTTTCGAACTACAAACCCTTTATCGAAGCTCTCCATGATAAAGATAAAGTGGCCCGTACTCAGTGATTAGGAACTAATGCTTCCGACTAGACACTGATTAGATGAACATATATTCTTCAAATCGGTGTTGGTTCTAGTGGTCGGACCATTTTGCGTTGTCATGGGGTCTAAACAGCTCTATTAGTATAGGCCAAGTCAGCCCTGAATCGGGCCAACTAAACTAAAACCCGAAATGTCTCTATTTTTTGAGTAGAAATGGCTCTAGTGAAAGGGGCCGATACGCATCACATGGCTGAAACAATTTCTCCTGTGGGCCAAAACGGTTTTCGATGGGGCTGCAATGGTCTTTATTGGGGTCGATTTAGACCAGATTGACAAAATGGTGCCACGAAGGGTCAAATCAGCTCCAGGTGCTATAGAGCTGAATCAGCACTTTGGGGCTGAAACAGATCTTTTGGATTTAGAGTGTATGAATCTGTTCCTGTAGGGGCATGAACTTGCTAATTCGTTAAGTCTGTTAAGGTCACAATAGTTATTTTTGACAGATTATAAAGTATAAACACCAACCCTCTTTACCCACAAAGCGAACACTGCCGAGAAGGCTGAGAAGCCGGCGATATAATGAACACGTTCACAGTTTGTTTTAATTTGGGAGGTGTAGCTTTCCAGTAAAAAGGCTTTTCATTCACCTAGTTCATGTGTATAGCTGATTCAATAAAGGTTGTTTTAGGCATTGGGAAGCTATTCGATTCTTTGGTAGTAAATCATTCGTTGCATTGTTCCATACGCCCAAAGGCCCAATGTCCAATTACCATTGTCCAATGGCCAAAATTACCAATGTCCAATTACTTTTTGTTTATAATAGGCTCATAGGAGATTACTTAGCGGAAATATAGAGGCGATAGGAGCAGTAACTTTTTCAATAACCCGGCTTTAATTAATGTACGTTGTCAAGTTTATAGCGCACGGTCTTTTAAGTCCCTTAAGACTCCTTTGTGATTTAAACGATTGTATAGACCCAATGCAAAAATGGCTGCTAGATTAATATTCTTTTGTTTAAATTAAAATCAGCCTGACTAGCCTCGCTTAAGTTAATGTGTCCTTTTGAATTTTGTGCTGGAGAACGAGGCTAGTCAGGCTAATTTTAATTGCAGATGGAAACTCAAGATCTCTCATTTCTCTCATCATCTTTATCATCATTTATTTTTCTTCACAGGAAAATATTTCTATATTGAAGCTTCGAATCATGCATTTCGTGATAATGCAAAGCTGACCTTTGCGGTGCCTAGAAACAAAAGTTCATGTTGCCTAAAATTCTTCTATCACATGTACGGATCAGATATGGGAACTCTAAATGTTTTCAGTGGAAATAATACGATATTTACCAAGTCAGGAAATCAGGGGAACCACTGGAAAAGAGTCACCCGAACAGTCTACCTCAGTGATACGGTAAATCGATGTGTAAACTGATCATGTTGACCTAAGTAATGAATTAATTAACATTCTACAGGAAAAGGGATGGGAAGGAGGGATAGGGCGGCGCCAAACAACCTCCCCCGTACCTCGCATTCCCGGTTCCCTCCGTATTTACATGACTGCAACGCATCACTTTTTCTGCTGGGAGATACTGAGCATTGTTGCGTAAATTCCCCAATTTCTCTCTCTTCCCATGCATCTTTTAAATCTCCCTCTTCTCCCCCCCCGCCCACCCCTTCTGTTTCCTGTACTCCTATCACCCTGTCTTTTGTCTCTATGAATGCTTTAATATAAAATCGATTGTGGGGTCTCTATTTTTTTGTTTGCATTAGGGGGGAGGGGCTTGTGGTGCACGATGGTCCAAGCCCGGCCAACATAGAAGTGGCACACGAGCCGCAGGCGAGTGTGTCACTCATGTTTTACCACATTTTGACGTCCTCTGTGATCTCAACAGACCCACGCCAACGTGGAATCTATTTGTTTAATTTATACAATGATCAGAAACGAAAAAAAGACTGATACACATACCTGCCTCGTACCTCTAGACTGTTAGTAGATTGGTGCCAGTTTAGGCATTTTTTAAGTCCCAAACGCTTTTTTTCGTCTGTGCTTCTTCTTTTCTTTATTTATCTTACTTGTATACAGTTTATTCGAAAAGGTTTTCAACGACTTTTCTTGCTCAAAGCAGAATAATTGCGAAAACATCATCTCGTAGCGATGACACCCGATGGCAACTATTGTGTAGATTTCTTGTATTTTAGGTATTCTCAAGTTTTAAAGAGCTCTTTTTGTCTCCGTTTTTTCTTGCTAATTAGTTCTCGAGGCTTTCACTTGCCATGTTGAACAAAACAAAGAAAACAAGTTTCCTCATTATCATCTCCTCATCCATGTATCTGTACTCTAATAGATCGTTTTCACATGACGTCACGGCGGCCATGTTTGTGTGAAAAACAATGAATCGGCGGCCATGTTTGTGTACAAAAAAAAATCCTGTGGGAATTGGACTCTTTTCACAAGTTAAAACTTTCTTTTATCCCAAGCAATTTGCGAAGCTGCTGACCACGTGACTGAAAACGATTTATAGATCATGGGCAACGACCAAACACAGCGTGCGTAGCATTCACATCATTGTATAAATACCAATATTCTATTGTTGTAGTAGCCGGTTTGTTTAAAAGCAACGAGCCTTTAACATCTCACTTTGTGTTTGAAAGAGAAACAATACGATATAGTCCGAAAATGGTGCGATATAAAATAGAAATGTCGTGATTTAGAACATGAATGAAGCGATTTAGAACAGATGTGACATAGAGCAAAACAAAATAGTGTGATTCGTGAATAAACCAACCAGATAACAGTGATTTCAAAATGAATATTTAACAATTAATGAATGAGGCTGAGTATCTTATGGAGATCGAGGAAGGTGTTATCCATCGAGGCCCAGGCGGATAACACCCTTCGAGATCTCCATAATTCTTCATATGATACGAAAGCCGAATTAAATAATTGCTTTATTATTCAAAATAATTCCTAGTTTCAAAACATAGCTAAAACAAGCTTATCTACATCAATGTTAAGTTTATTTCAAATAGCAGGTGTCGCCCTCCGAGCTGTCTTCTTGCTGTTTTTGCACTGTTTTTAGCCATTATTTCGCCTAGTTCCAGCTGTAGTTACTCTTAAAACGAGCGAAGTGTCCACCATTTTAGTTTTTAAAACGAAAACAACTCCATCTCGTCCCCAGGTCTTCTCGGTTAACGGTGCATTAACCAGTAGAAGGCTGCATTTTTGACGTCATTTCCTCGTTAAACACAAAATTCTTCCAAATTTGGTCATCAGTAACTGGTTATGGTGAGTTATGCGTGTGCTTTTAGCCAATCAGAATTAGGGAAATATTTTAAACAACAATAAAATAAAATATAAAATAGAGTGAAGCACCATGCAGAAGCGAGAGAAACCGTACTGAATTGGTAGTCCTCCTTCGTTTCTTTGCTGTTATTAATTGTGACCGCATCCTTCCAGGTGACGTTCGAAGGAATAAGGGGACTATCGTTTGAAAGTGACATTGCAATCGATGATGTGTCAATTTATGACAGAAGCTGTCCAGGTTAGAATACTATCAGAATAATTTGCCAGTGGTAAAACAGCTGTAGGTTTAGTTCAATTTTCACTTATTAAGGAAATTGAACGTTTTTAGTTTTGAAGCTGAACATTTTTGGGAGAGTTATTAATTTGGTAAGGGATGTATTTACCAACTCGTTCCTTTGCGTAAATGTTTCTTGCTTGGCAGGTTTAATCAAACATTTTTTTTTTATCAAATCTTACTCCGCCTAATGTTTATTCTGAATTGAGCATTTTATTGCACGATTATTGTCGGCGGTTTCCTCGCCGAACTTAGATGAACATAAACATCCCTGAGAGAACAAGAACTCGATACAGTTTCAAATCAAATATGTCACCCATCTCTTATTAAAAAGACACTTTCATGATTTGTTCAGGCTGTGGTGGTTTCTTGAATGAGACTTCTGGGGTGTTGTATAAAGCAAATGGCGGAGAAGAAGCCGAAGAGCACTGCATCTGGAAAATGGGAAAGGCTGGAGTGAGGGACGCAGTTGCAATTTTTACATTCGAAACGATTTACCTCCGCTATTGCAGGTAATAAAAAGCTTTGTGTGATTGCAAGAGATGCTCAAACGTACAACTTCACTAGTATAACCACTCGACTGCTCTTAAACTTATCCTGCAAAGGCCCTGAAGGCCGGTTTTGCCTTATTTCTTGTAATCATATACCGCGGTCTAAAGTCCGCTCTATGCGCCATGTTTTGCTCAATAAAACAATCGAGTTTGTCCTTTCATTTGCGCTAGACTTAGGGCCTGTTTACACGGCGGTGGGGGACCCCAGATAGGTGAGGTAGCATGTGGTGGGTCACCCCACCTATCAAATTAAAATGAGAGATTATATGGACAGGAGGGTTACCTCACCTACCTGGGGTTTCCCACCTCCCTGTAAACAGGCCCTCAATTTGATTAGGTTTTCATGAAAGGTGGGATTACCCACTACAAGGTACCTCACTTATCTGGGGTCCCCCACCTTCACGTAAACAGGCCCTAGCTTATTAGAAGAAATTATTGCGTTCTCCTTTTTATTATTTGCATTGTATTATGTTTGTTTTGTGTCGTGGGATTAGTTTGGAATTTAATCATGTCATAAAAGTTTACTGTAACAATAATAACAATAATAATAATAATAATAATAATAATAATAATAATAATAATAACGATAACGATAACGATAACGATAACGATAACGATAATGATAATGATAATGATAATCAATGAAAATACTTTATTAAAATCTTATAAAAAGCTGCACACAAAACTTCAATAAAATATTCGTAAAAAGAAAACGTCATCAATAATAATAATAATAATAATAATAATAATAACAATAATAATATTTTTTAATACTAATGCCATATAACCACGGGATGGTAGAAGTTACATGTAGCTCAAAACTAGAGGCACGATCAATTTGGAAACTCTGCCAAAATTACAATCTGCAGTGCAGCGAAACTTGGTACAATCATTCTCCAGAGGCAGTGATGGAAAATGACCAAGTGAGCTGATTTTGAGATTTTAGAATTAAAAAAAATCATCATTTAGATCATAAAAGGCCGGATATAGTCGTATTGGAAAAGGAGAGCAGAGTGTGCCAAATCATCGATGTGGTATGTCCTTTTGATACCCGAATTGCAGACAAGAACGAAAACAGAGAAGGTCGACCACTACTAGGACTTAAGAAAAGTGAAACTACAACAAAAATGTGGAGCTGCAAAAGGGTATCTGTTATTCCAGTTGTAATTTGGGCACTTGGGGCAGTGACCAAGAACTTGATGATGTGGGTTACTAAGATAAGAACACCTGGGATCTTGAACTTACTCCAGGCCCCGGTTGTTCAAACGTTGGATAGCGCTATCCACCGGATAAATCACTATCCAGCGGATAAGTATTAGGGAAATCAATTGCGCTATCCTCCGGATAGATTCTTATCCTGTGGATAGCGCTATCCAACGTTTGAGCAACCGCGGCCAGGAAGCCTGCTTGTTAGGAACAGCAAAGACCTTAAGAAGGATCCTAGACATCTAAGGCTATAGGGAATAGCTTGATGACCTAGGAATACGTAACCACACCGATGCAACTAGTAGTGTGAGATATGGAAAAAAAAATTGCAGTAATAATATTAATAATAATAATAATAATAATAATAATAATAATAATAATAATAATAACAAAACTTTATTTATAGATTTAAAAAAAAATAGACTATTTACAGATTCAAGAATATGAAATATTAAAATATATACCCTATGTACATTTTTCTTGTCTACGAAAGAGAATTGTTGTAAAATGACTATCTAAAGACTACTAATAACAAATTATAAAAAGCATCAAGAAGTTGATAAAAAAAAAATAAAAACTATTTAAAAATAATAATTCAAACTGATAAAAAGTTACTACTTAAATTCTGGCTAGCGCACTTTCCGATGTAATGTCAATGTCAGATATATTGGCTGCTCTTCTCTAATAATAATAATAATAATAATAATAATAATAACAGTAATAATAAAAATATTTTTTAATTTTTTTTTTAATTTTTTTATTTCAGAGCAAATAAACAACTGTCTATAAACTAAAAAATGAAAATTTCTATGTACATCCCAATAATAAAGTATCTATTGCTGTTAAGTCTAGGGAAGTCCTGATACGATAATGATAATGATGTCGTGGATAATAGAAACGATGATGATGACGATAATGATAACTTATGATAGGCGAGTTACAACCTATTTTATGCCAAAATGCTGAGTAAACTGATGTACAACCACTAAAAAACCTTTTCTTCTTGGTTTTCTTCCTCTTTGCTCGTCATATAACTTTCCTAGCATATTATGTTCATCGCCTTAGCGCGATTTCCGTATGACCTTGAAATGAAAACGCGTGAACAAAACACAAAGAACAAACGAACAGAAAGAGAGCGATTTGGTTTATTGAATGCATACAAAAGCACATGGCTTTTGATTGGTTAGGCGAACGCTCGAACAATGCCTCTTCCATATTATTGGTTTTCTTTGACCGGAAAACGAAGAGTCCATGTTTTGATCTTTTCATCTGTTGGCTGATAAAACTTGTAACGAACACTTACCGAAAACATTTTTCATAGTCACACGAAAATCGTTCTAGCAATTCAAATAACAAATTAAACAATTTAATTTGAACGAAGATCTACACTCTATCCTACCCATTTTTAACAAGGCCCGTCTTTGCCATTTTTTTTTTCTTTCATTTAGTGAACACCTCATGCTAATTAAACCAGATGGCTCCAACGTCTTCAACCAGGAAGGCTGTAATTCTTCTCACCCCGCTGGCACTTCTCTTGAAGTTCCATTTGGAGACGCAGAATACCTCATACTAGATATTTCTCTTGAATATAGATGGAGCGTGGTTAACGTCAAGTACAGCATAGTCGGTCAAACACTTGACTCAGGTTTGTAACCCATGGCATACCACACATGTATACGTGCATAATAATGAATACAAAATCCATCATATATACCTTATCATTTCCAAAATTTCTTTAACCTATCACTCCGATAGGGTTCATTTTACTTTTCTGGGAAACTGCCCACCTACCCCTCCCCTCAACCAACATTTTGCTCTAAGTAAGAACTAAGCGTTAATGTTGGTTTAGGGGAGGGGTAGGTGGGCAGTTTCACAGTAACTTAGAATTATCACTTATTCCTTTTCCTTCGAAGAAAAGGAATAAGTTGAGGGGACTGTTGTTCAGCAGAAATCCATTTCAAAGAGCTTTGTTTTCATTTTTATTCACTTCATTTACGATTGGATGATAAAGATGACATATAACGTAAATACACGATCGAGTAAAAGAAGAATAGAAAAGGAACAATATTAACACAAGGTTATTACTGTGTATGTTAAAGCTCTTTTAGGTTAACAAACAGAAAACTGCAGTCTGTGAAAAGATGCTCTAGAAAAGCGTACTCGGAAACTTCTCAATTTATGCTATTCAAAGGGGGTGTTTCTATCCGAAACATTATTTAGCATTAAAAGCTAATTTCAGAGAGCTATTTTCAGTACAAAAGCTCTATGGTAAAGCACCCATGAAGTAATCGTTTCGCGAATAGTACAGGTCTACAATACCATGGAATATGAAGAGCATGCCATTGTGATTTATTCAACTGCGATGATCATTTTCTCTTCATATCTTTATCCGCAGTTCAAATCATGCGTGATGTCATATATTTCTATTCAGGCATTTTAAAATTGAAATATTATTATGATTTATTTTATATTCTAAGCGGAAACTGTCCCCTCCTGGAATATAACAGTATCCAGCATAACCTCATCTTCAGCGTTGGTATATTGGTCAAACCTTCCACTGCCGCAGTCTGTCAGTTACTATTTGGTGAGGTTCAAGGAGCTCTCCAACAATGTCAGTAGACTTTTTAAAGCCACTAGCAACTCCTATTACACTAACCTGCTCAGGGGTTTTACAGCCTATGAAGTCCACGCATTCGCTGTTACGTCAAGCAGAGAGAATGCTACATACGCGAGCAATCCAGTCTCCATGGTAACGGCAGAAGGAGGTAAGGACCTCCATCAGCGTATACAATTGGCTAGATTACACCACCAATGACGATTCTTCAGCAAAAACACGAGACAGTAATTACCACGATGTGCATATCATGGAAAATCAAGTCACCCGCGCATAATTCTGACACTTTTCACAGCTACAACACTCATCACGGTCACAACACTCGTCACAGTCACAACAATCGCCATAGCTAGAATACTTGTCACAATCAAAACACTCGTCAAATATACAACACTCAGCGTCACAAACACTCGTCAGAGCCACAGTACTCGTCATTTAGTGTTAAACATATTCCTGCATTGCTGTGAAAACAGCAGCAATGAGGAGCTGTAATCGGTCTGTGTCTCTCTTCGGCATATTTTAAATGTTTAGCAGGTTTTACAGGCAAGAAATCCTAATAAAAGACAGAAAATGCAAGATCCAGAAAGTCCCCCCCTTTTTTATAGAAAGTACCAGAAATACAAATAGCAGTATGCTACTTTACTGATTAGCTAAGTTGTTTGGTGAGAAAAATTTCGGGATTTTAAAAGGACTAAGAAGATCGTTTTTATTGACCTTTGCTTATATAGACATCTGCAAAACTTTTAGGCAGGTTCAAACACTGTTTTCCTAAGCTACGCTGCGTTGGCGTTACCACATCAATACGGTTAAAGTGTTACAAATCAGTCTCGCTGTGAAACCTCTGTTTCCATAATTGACTCCGGGAAGATGAAAATAATTCTAAAAGGTGATTCCATTGAAACCGTTATCTTACTGCAAGCAGGAACTAAGAACTAGCGGTTTCTACCCTAATCCTCAAATATTCTACATTTCATTTAGTTCCCAGCCGTCCACCAACGAATGTCAGAGTTGAAAACCATGGATTGAATGAGTTCTTGGTCAGATGGGATTCCCTTCCTATCCAGTACGCCAATGGCCGCTTATTAGGATACAACGTTTACTACAAAAGTCTCCAGTACTACTACTATTGGGACACCATTGTTAGAGTCAACAACACAGATATACCACGAGTAATTCTGTCGGATGTTCGGATTGGAGAACGTTACCAAATTTCAGTGGCTGCTTTCACTGCTGTTGGAACCGGACCGAGGTCATCCCTTGTCTATGAGACGAAAGGTAAATATATCTTTTCCACGAGCTCATTAGGGTGACAATTTTAAGAACTGATTACTTATTATTAACCCTACCTTGTTAGACAGTACCCATTTCTTTCTGGTTTGTGTAGGGATGCTTATCTGCTCCAAAATTTGATTTGACTTTCCAAAGATTTTGCCGGCTTTATAAATAACTTTGTGATTAAAAGTTAGCGCATTGAACGTGATAAAAGAAAGAGCTACGCATGCACTCGGGTTGTTCTTTCGCAAGACAGGGTTGTCTTATCAGCCTATCAAAAGGGGCTCTGCGTAAATTATGACTACAGGATCAAAAAAATAATAGTAATAATAATGATATTATTAATAATGATAATAAATAAATAAATAAAAATGAAAAATAAATTTAAAAAAATATTTAGAACAATTTTAAAAAAGTAAATAAAAGAGAAATTGCGTATATTTAGAAAAATCATAATTTGTTAGACGAATAAGGGAGCTACTACGGTAAGTTACGTAAGTGTATCAATACCAAAAGCTAATGGCTAATGAAGTCTAAGGTTAGAAAGTTTTTATAAATGAAAAATAATGTAGCTTCTTTTATTGATGTAGGTAAAATATTGAAAAGATCCCCACCTGTTTTATTAGAGTTGACTTAGGGCTCGTTACATGAATGTTGTCCCTTTGTCTTATTATTATGAATGGTGCGATTTCAAATATAGAAATGAGGAATTTATTAATTTACATTTGCGAAATTTCCCTTGTTTCTCCAAATCCACCCAGCCTAAAGTTTTGGTTGATTCTTCGACAAGAGTTTGTCTGTGGTGTATGATAAGTTGCACAGATACTTTTGGAGACTGAATTACATGTAAACACCAAAATAAATTTGCCATTTTAGAGGAAAGAAAGTAAGTGTTGTTCTCTAATATGTAATTACAGTCACTTTAATTATCTTTCTTTTATGTATTGTCTTGCTTTAAGGTTGTGAAGGTTCTGTGAACCGGTCGTTTGGATGGCTAAATTTCACGCAATCGAGTTACAACACTCTCAACTGCAGTATTCAAATAAATAATGCAGGTGCAATTCAAGGAGTCGTCTTAGTCTCATTCAAGTACAGCTACCTCGGTTATTGCAGGTAAGCGGAATTATTCATTGTAGATCAGAAATCATGAAGGCAATGTAACACAAGGAAAAAGTCAAAGGAAATTGTCAAGTCCAAGAACGTTTATAGCATTTTTTTTTTTGTTAAAAGGAAATTTGAAGAAAAACGATAGGGTTTAAAGTAGACATTTTATCGATCGTACATCAGTTTTATAGTAGTTAAATATTATTTTGTGATGTAGGTGTTACGTCATAGTTATCCCACCCATCCACACCACCAAGAAACTATTTTAGGATTCTTTTTTTTTTCGCTTATTTAAATATCCACATGATTTTGTCTTAATTACTCTGATTTCATTGCTAGTTTTCTAATATTGATTAGTCGCGTTCACAAGCATTTGAGTCGCCTCATTTCTTATTCTCTGTAGCGAGTTTATCAAGATTTATGACAACACTGGCAACGAGGTTTTCCGTCGAAGAGGTTGTGATTCGTCTGCTAGCGGACAGTCGGTTGAACTTCCCTTTGGTGACGGGAGTAGCATAACATTGGCCATGGCGGTCTCTCTTTCATACCGATATAGCTACGCAAGAATTCAATACACAGTGTTAGACAAAGCCCAAGACTCAGGTAACAAGATCCTATGACGACAAATTTGCTGGAAAAACACTTGAAAAGTGAAAAAAAATGCTCAGGAAAGGTTGGACCTCTTTCTCAGCTCTCTTAAAGTACTCAAGTGGGAGTAGGAAGTATCGCACACGTCCGAGGATATGTTTAAGGGAACTTATAAATTACATGTACTTTACAAAATAAATGTTTGACAGTATTTTTCGTTGATTATTCATCCACAGCACAAGTGGTGCCTTCATGGAATGTTACCATCACCAGCAAGACATCATCATCATTGACAGTACGGTGGTCAAACTTCCCTTCAAGTGTTCCAATCCAGAGTTTTATAGTGAAGTATAAGCAAAAAAGTTCAAACGTCAGCTTGATCTATTACGTCTCACATTGGTATAACTCACACTACACTGGTAATATACTTAAAGGGTACACTTTTTACGAGGTCAGTGTCGTTGCCGTAGCGAATATTTTGGGGAATAGGACACTGTACTCCAGTGAGGCAATAAATGCAAGAACTAACGAAGGAGGTAAATATGCCAAAACATAACAAACAAACGAACAAACAAAAGTCAATAAAGTAAGTTAAAACAGCAAAACATACCAGTCAGCCCATACGATGCTCGAATTAAAAAGAGAGTTTAACTGCAGTTTCGATTTCAAAAAGCCTTTTCTGCATTTGAAATTTTCATTGAACCTCTATGAATTTACTCTTCAATGCAGACGTTCGTTTGGTTCGCTATATAATGGGGTGTTTACATGAGAAAACTCGCACCAGCGCAAGTTTCATATCAGGATGACTTTTCGATTTCTTATCACGTTTACATGATGACTGGGTCATTTAATATGTCTTTATGTTGATAAAATACACGTGTGTTCAAAATCGCAAACATTACGCATGCGCTACCCGTTCCAGTCTACCAACAGACCGATTTCACACCGAAGCAAGTGTTCGTTTCGCGTTTACATGATACCGTTGCGAGATTTCGTACCGGAGTGAAATTCTCGCCCCGGTGCAACAACCGGGGTTAACTCACGCCGGGCCGGGCAGGGTGACTCGCGCCGACATGACATTTTGTGGTGGTATCATGTAAACAATATAGAGCCGTGAGAGGGAACCGGAGTGAACTCGCGTTTTGGAGCGACGCACGTCAGCTGGAAGAGAGTCTTTTTTCTCTTTCAATATTTCTTGAAGCTACATTCAAACCTCTTCAAACGGGCACTAAAGGGACAGCACCAAGTGTCCGTTTTACAGAGGGGTCCGTATTATAGAGGTAGGGAATGTATGATTTTTTGGTTTTCTGGGACCAAACGAACTGTTCGTAAAGAGAGGTTAGACTGTATCAAATTTGTACTCCCTAATGTCTTCGTGGGAGGCTTAACACTTAAGCAAGTTTAACAGTTAAAGAACAAAATCTTGTCGGGGATTTATTATAAGGTATCATTTATTATTATTATTTTTAGTTAAGAGTCATTTCTGCACTAGTATCCGACAATTTTTGGCCCTATTTCCAAAATGCCCTAGAACTTGGTTTGTTTGTTTATTTATTTGTTTCCCTTGTAGCTTGGGAACGTGAACACTTATCACTTTAACACCCCCTAAAAAAAAAAAAGGTGTCCTTTTAAGTTATATTCAATTAGTCAAGTGTATATAAACCTTATTTTGTTGTAGAGATCAGGTGTCACTGGCACGTTAGGTACCCCTGGTAACCATTTTAAGGTTTTTTTTTTTTTTTAGGTTTCTCCTTTTGCTCGTACCTTCTCGCCAATACCGTCATTTTGCTGATTTGCTAATTTTCACAGTACCAAGCGTTGCACCTTCGGGCTTACGAGTTTCTAGGCTGCAGTTCAGTGAATTAAAGGTGCAATGGAATCCAATACCTCAGCACAGTGCAAATGGGCGACTGCTGGGATATGTAGTCATCTACCAAGAGTATCCCTATTGGTATAGCACCCAAAAAGTCAACTCTAGTAGCCCAGATGTCAATATGCTTGTGTTGAGTGGTTTGAAAGCAGCACGTTCCTACAGAGTGTGGGTGGCTGGGCTCACACGCGCAGGAACTGGACCTCAGTCATCTCCATATTACGTCACAACTGGTAAATTGAACAAATCGACGTGACATGACGTCAGAAAGTTCAAAACTGAATTAGTACCACAGTTGAATGGTTTCATAGCCTGCATGAACACGTCTCCTATTTCCTTTGTCGTTTCACTGCAAAGCTTTGAACATTTTGACGTCATTTGTTAATTTTACAATAACATTGGCTGTCTTAAACTTGCATTCAGTAAACCGCGCGCAAAAGACTAAAAAAACAAATTGCGTCATCATGACGTAATTTTCGTGGTCCACACTGAAACGTTTCAAACGTCGTGCTAATGCCGTTCCGAACTCTATTCAATAAATAAGAAATACATTAGAATAATTTTAGAAGTTGTTTTTTTTTTGCTTTTATTTATTGTTTTCGACAAGAGCTCTTTTATTCGACTTCTGAAACCAAGGTGGCTATAGTCGTTTTGCGGTCCAGGCAGCTTATCCCGGCAGAATCATGACGTTTCAAACAGACCTCATATAGCATAGTTCTACTCATAGACTACTCTATACACTACTGACTACTTACAACAAAGGCACGAAATACAGCATTAAGATATACCATACACTATACGGCTTAACTGACAGACGACATCGCGACATAATTGACCAATCAGATCAATAACCAGCGTATAATGCCATCAACTGACGTGATACAACTCACTTTGACTCTGAAGATGACTACCGCACAGGTTGTCGAAACGTCAGTCACTGTCAACAACAACAGTCCTATTCAGGACTACGTTCACCCGGACGATCAAACTCAACCTTTTGACTATACCTATTGTTCCTGAGGAATAGTATATTTTATAACAACCCACTCATATTTACGATTTATATAAACTGGTCCTGGCACATGGTTAGCAAGATCGCAGTGTGTTTGGAATTATTTAACTAATTGAAATTAAAGCAGTAGAAGGTTAAATTTGATCGAGGAACTAAATTTTTTTCATTTCTTGCTGTCAATTAGATTGCGGTGGATATACAAATCGATCTTTTGGCCACCTAGAGACTGGTTCCGACAGGGGCTCAAGCTATCTAACATGCACTCTTGTGGTTGGCAGAGGGGGCATAAATCAGGCAGTTGCACTAGTGTGGATAGAAGATCTGTATTTGTCATATTACAGGTACTGAGCCGTTTTGAGTGAAATTACTACCTCAGATTACTTGACACGATTCTCCGATTGGATAGAGAAGGGAACTGTCACGTTGCCAAAGGAGCAAAAATTGTGGATCACAAGTTTGCGCTTAAGCAAGGACGACGGCGACAATAACTAGAACGGCAAACAAACAAACAAAAAAAAGGATTGTTTTTTTCTTCCGTCATGAAACTTTCTAATTTCACGCGCCCGCTCTATGGGGTTGGTGAACACAGCACATAAAATTTTAAACTCAGATACGGTACTTTCGGATTTAACCCCAGCGAATTTAGCTAACTTACCAAGTTAAACGAAACTGAATAATATCGTCGATGAAGTTTAATTTGAAACAGTGTGAATTCACATGTTTTTTGGTTTGTTGTCATCTAAAAATTTTGCTACCGTGACGTAAGGACTTCTCTTCTCTATTCTTGTCTTAATTAACCTCAGAAATCTCAAAGGGATCATGGATTATGTAATTTTGCAATGGAGGTTCGCTGAACTGATGCATCAGTGTCGTCAGTGTGTCTAAGGTCAAGTGTGGAGACTTTACCTGAGGATATCTCTGCTATTGACCACCACGGCGGTGACATGGAGAATAAAACAAAAACAGAAACAACGACAACAAAACAACTCTCCGGCCATGTTGAATAACCCCCCCAAAAATATTGTCGGGATTGAACTCTTTTCTCGTGTAAAAGCTTCCATTTGTTGCAAAAAATTAACGTATATTTAGTTGATGACCACTTTTGAGTGAAAGTAAAGTAAAGTTTCAGTTCGTGTTTGCCCAATCTCCCTTCTTTTTTTTTTTTTTAAAATAGAGCATTTGTAGCCCATTCTTTCCTTCCATGTTTTGAAAATGCAACGGCCGTCTCTGCTAAGAAAGAGTTTTGAGATCTAGAATTTTTGCTAACATGGTAACAAGACATGACCTTTCTTCTTTCTATTCTTTTCTTGACTATTACGAAACATAACATATCAGCGGATATAAAGTTTTTTTTTCCACCTGTTTGTTAGTATTTTTTATTTATTACGTTTTTCTTCGTGTTTTAGTGAATATGTCAAAATAATTGACGGAAATGGATCACTGGTTTGGCATAAGTATGGATATTCTTACTCGCCTGACCTGCGATCTTTCGTTCAGGTTGGGTTCGAAAGTGCCGATAACATAACTGTTCAGATCTATTTATTAAGCAGCTACAGTCGATTCAAGCTTCAGTACGGAATTATAAAGCAAGGTCTTTTCTCAGGTTAGAATCTTTCCATAGAGCTAATTGAATTAATTATACAGTTGTATATAACTCTCTGATATATCGACTTTTATTGCGGGCTCCTTTCGTCACCAGCAATCCTAATTTTTAGGTTTGTTATTACGCATGCGTCGAATGTATGTGGCAAGAATTCGTTTGGACTTCCACTAAAAATGAACGGAATGAACAGAACACGTTTCCACCTTCTACCACTCGTAATCTGATCACGCGTTCCGACCATCTGTGTCGTGAAAGCTACGCAAAGCACAGGGTTGGATCATGAGCAAAAGCGCTTTGACCTGCGATCGCTGTCTCCCGCAATCCGTAACCTTTGGCTATTACTGGTGCATTTGCGTCCTAGATACGCTGCCAAAAGCGAGCCAACGATGGTTTCCGCAACATCAGTTTTTCCCAACTAATTGGTCTATTTGCACTGATGCGCTTAGACGTTGCGCAACCGAAAAATACCCTGAGAAAAGACCAGTACAGTCAACTCTCGCCTTGCTGACACCCCTTTATAAAGAACACCCCGATAATATGGACAGCAGTTAAATCCTATGAAAAAATATATTAAAGATGTTTGACTGAAATGAACTCCCGCAATTACGGACTCTCGGCGCTAATGAGGACACCAATTCAAGGTCCCCACAGTGTCCGCTTTAAAGGAAGGTGGACGTAATGATTCAGTATCTCGTAAAGGTGTTTTATTTTCTTTGTATACGTAATTCATTTTCTCAGCTCTACCTGTCAACTGGAATGTGACCATTGGCAACACCTCGAGAACTTCGATAACGGTTCACTGGGAGAATTTATCACCGCTTATCAATAATACCGTACTCTATTATATCGCATACGCCCACGATGGTAACCTATCAAGTGCAGCGGTCGTTTCTGGAAGTTTAAACACTTCGAACGTTGTGGGGCTGTTGCCTTACACTGAATATCAAGTAAGAATCATCGGAATAAACAGCCTTGGTCAGCCCTACAACAGCTCAAACGTCACAGCCCTAACAGAGGAAGGAGGCAAGTGAAGTATAACGTTACTTACGTTAACGGCGCGCGTTTAGCCTTTTTTTGATAGCGCGCTTGAATTTTCAGATTTGTTGTTTATTGTAGTTAATGGTGTGTCATGCCTGTAAAGGCCATTGACGGGGATGAATGCCGGTGAAATGGGTCGAAATGCGGGTGAAAGACAACAAAAACTACGTTGTCAGGGTGCAGAGAAAATCACTTTTACAGCTGACTATTCGGGCAAGCTGAAGCTAGCATTTACTAGCCCAGACGTCATTTCAACTAGCCTCAAAAGCTTTTTGACGACGGAAGAGTTGATTTCACAGTTCATGTGCTATTAAAATTCCTCAAAAAACATCACTTGCCAGTCGGGCAAGTTAAAAACAGAATTCATTAGCCCGATAGCAAAATCCACTAGCCCCGGGCTATCAGACACGACTTTCTTTGCACGCTGATTGTTTTCCCTTTCCAGTTTATTTATGTTTTTGTCATGAGTGAAAAATATTGAATCTGACTAGGTGAGGGCAATGCAGTTTAAGTAACCACAGTGCAATAGAGGATATTCGTATTCCCCGACGGCCCTGGGACGAGAGACTTCACAGCATGATTGCCAGGCTAAAGCGGGGAACTTTTTAGCAAAGACACAAACAAACATTTGTTAGTCGCGGCTGAATCGCTGCAAAACGATAGAAATCAGCAAAAAACCGCAAGATTTAAAAGCTGAAACCTTACGGGTAAGCTTAAGGGATATCTGTTTCAAAAAACAAAACTGTGGGAAGAGCTGGTCGTACGGCTAACAGCAAAAGTTAAAAAGCCACGAAGCCAAAAGAAGAAACAAGAAGTAATCAAGAAAATGGTATATTGTGTCAAAATGTCAATACTCGAATCCTTTTTATAAAATTTTATTCTTGCTTATTATTCTTTTTCTCGTGTGTGTATCTGTAGTGTGGAGTTTAAACTACTCAGTATTATCGCCTGTTCCCTGAACTCTGTGTTCAACTGCGTGCACGTTTTAGTACTCTCGCACAGTTGTTATCGAAGATAATATAAATTATATTAAAAAAAAAAAAAAGAAAACTTTACCTAGTCATCTTTGTTCAAACCGGTTTGACTTCCTTAAAATGCACATGGACTGTGTGCAGAACGCTAAGCCCCGTCCTGTAATTATCCAAAGAATTAGTCGTTTGCTTTACTTCAAATACACATTCAAGATTTTGCACCCGCTCTGTTAGAAAATTTCAACTGGAAAGTAGGTTTGATAACATCACCGTTAACTTTATCGCAGGCTTTCGATGATTACGTCCATTTCAATAAAAGATATCCTTCAAAAAGTTTAAAGGAGACTGAAAATTACAATTAAAACGGCTTCGGGGATTTTAAGAACATCTCTGTTTATATTAAAGTTTTAAACTCGCTCACCAAGCACTCTTCTCATCAATATAATTATGGTAAGGATCACTGTTTTTCTTAGTAATAATGAGCAGATCTTCCTTTTGTTGTTTGAAATAATGTTCTCTCAAGTATGTAAGCCCGTCGGAACTTTACAATGTTAAAAATTTTCCTTAAATTCGGCAAACTCAGCTGCAGTTTTTTTCATATTTGTTCGTCCTCTTGGCGAGAAGGTCCCCGCATGAGCCTCGCATTCATGATCAAGGCCCACTCGTCCCAGAACTGTCGGAGAATACGAATTCTGTCTGTTTAATTATGGAATGTTATGCAAATATCTCAGAGAATGAGTGACTGGCTGATAAGCAACTTACAAATAGTTAGGGACCAATCAGCAGGTGCCGCAACGCATTCGCAATTTCAATAAGATTTAATTATGATTGGTTTCTGGTACCAGCATGCAGTTTCTGGGGTTTCGCTAGGTGGCCTTATAAACACGTTCCATTAATTTTGACTATGTTATTTTTTCCCCTGCATATTATTAAAGGTTGATATTATAAGGGGGTGTCTCGTTCAATTTGGAATTTAATTACATTACTCTCGTGCTTATTCCAAATGCTTAAACTGCATGAACCCGTATTTTGTTACTTTTTTGATCCTTTTTTACACTCGTGTAAAGCATATAGCCGGGTGCATTGCAAAATATCCAAAGAATTATCTATCAATTGCATACTGTAGTTGACTAGAAAAGTTCGGTATGAGGTCAGTAATTAGTTAATTTACAGTATCATATACTGTGATTGACTCGGGGTGTGCATCGCAAGAGATCATACACCTATTTCAACTATAATTGATTGTCTGTGTTTGTTTTAGTCCCCAGTAGGGCACCGTCTAATGTAAGAGTGTCTAACGTACGGTTTGATCAAGTCAAAGTGCAGTGGTATCCCATCCCTCATCAATTTGCTAATGGGCGTCTCCTCGGATACACTGTTTACTATTACGAGTATTATAACTCGTACTTGAGAAAATCGGCTAGCACCAGTAATCCGTATACTAACATGGTGATATTAAGAGGTCTCAAGGCAGCAACTCACTATCAAATAGCCGTAGCAGCCTTTACGTCTAAAGGACCTGGAACCCAGTCTTACTGGCAGTCCATAACAACAGGTGATGTTTTATGTCATAATGCTGTTAAATTTTAGTCAATTATAAAATTCTGATTAGCGTTGATCACCCTGCACAGAGAAGTCTTCTTTTCATACTCAACCTCTATTTATTTTTAACTGTAAAAATGTGTACGAAGATAGAGCAATGAATTCTGAACAAATTTCCAAGCTTTTGCGAGACGCGGCATTTACATATCGGCCAATAGATCTGTCATGTAGCGTAAAAAGTGACTTATATGGGGAGATGTTGCCTCCTGAACAGTCATTGTATTAGAAAAAGTATTACTTCAATGTTCATCAGTTTCTCGAGAGATCTGAATTCATGCTTTCGTGAGCCTGCGAGGAAGCACTGCACTTGGGGAAATCGACAGAAGTCACGCTAGAGTAGCACGCGAAAGGAGACGCGAGTGCAAGGTGCGGGGAAAGAAGTTGGAGCTTGCAACAATCTCTCATAAATTTTCATTTCCACCCCGGAAACCACAGGAAAACCGCAAAGAGTGAAAACTGTCACCGGAAACAAGAAATGCGTCAGCCGTTTGTCAGTTACCTGCATCGGCCACGAGCCAGTGACGCTAGCGTTCCAGGAGCAAGATATTACAATTACAATTACAAAGACAAGATTACCAGAAGAAGACAATTGGTCTGGACATTCTGATCTGGATCGTAGTCTATAAGCTTAGTCGGAGCTGTAATCCTTTAATTCAGCTGAGACGTGTCGCTTCTCAAAGAAGCTGCATTCTCTTTAAACTTCTCTTTAAGCTGGGAAGCAATCGGTCCAATTTAGATTTAAATAAGTTCATTGATTTGCAATCACGCAAATCCTCGGCAACTCATCCAAAATAAATGCATCCCTATAGCCAAAACGTTTTTGCCAATTGGTTTTGGGAAGGGGCATTTGAAATCGAGAAAAGGAGCCCCTAGTATCATAGCTGGGCCTCATTTTCAAAAATTTTGGCATAGGTATTAAATAAGGTGCCATATTGTTGTACACCTTGAACATTTCTACAGCGAGCAGCATAAATGAATAAATAAATAATAATAAAGCATAAAGCATAATTCTGCCCACAGAAAGGTTGTCCCATCCAAGCTCTTGCAGCAGGGAGCCGGAGCCAAAATCACAACTGGAAAAGGTTATGATCCTAGCTGCGCAGTTTTGTTGTTTTTGAAGCTTTAGCGCTAGTTCTGAACCCAGACCCTCTCAAACAACGCTGCAATCGTCTTTTTCCGTATCGTGTTACTAAATGTACGGCAAGCATTTATGGCGGGTCGGCAATTTTTTAGCCAATGGTATTTCGCTTCGTCTGGGCGAAGCAGAAATGAAAAAGATCGTTGCAAGCTCTACTGTTCAGCCACTCGCGGCTTGGCCATCCGGATGTGTACCAACATGGCGTCCCCATACAAAGCTCTATAAATTTGTGTAAATCATTTCTCGCTTATGAAACATTGTACTGACCTGAATCTTGGCGAGTAACTTATTTATCTCGATTCATTTCCCAGATTCTGGACTATATCTATTAAGCGGTTTTGATTTCTTTATTTTTTGATGACGTGACAATCAACAAGAGACATTTCCGGTTTGCGTTGCAGGTTGTGGAGGCAGCTTAAATGAATTGTTTGGAAACTTACAAGTCGGCCAAAGATCGTACTATTCTTATTCGCTGCATTGCAATTGGAAAATTAGCAATGCAGGGATCAGCCAAGCTGTTGCACTTGTGTCATTACCTCAACTGTCTCTGTCTTATTATAGGTTAGTGTGATATATTTATGGACTGCCAATTAAAAATTACAGTAAACAACCCCGAATAAATTAGATCACACCGGAAACGCACACTAACGATGGCAAAAATGATTTAACGATCAAGACTCCCCCCCCGTCCCCTCGGGGTGGCAACATAAGTAAGTAAAGTAAAAGCTTTATTAATGTGTCAATGTATTTAGTTTTCAAGGGGACACAAAAACTAAAATTATTTACAAATAAGAAATAATAGTAATAATGTATATACAATTAAAATATGTAACATGTATAAATTGTATTAAAAGAATAGGTGTATAAAAGGTAGTTTCTAAGAATTGCAAAGGTTACAGCAGCTATTGTTGTTGTTTAAGAGTGACGTTAGGTCTTTTTTCCTAATGTTCTTTTTGAAAGATTCAATATTCGAGGAGCTTTTCAATTTATTATCTAGTTTCGACCATATATGAGGTATATGGTATCGTATCCATGACAACAACATACACAGTCAGGTTTTATTTACTTACAAAAGTTGGACGCATAATGTATTAATTTGAAGTGTATTTGTTTTGTTTTGTTTTTTTGTTTTGCTTTTTGTTTTTGTTTTTTTTTTTTTTACAGTGAATACGTTAAGGTGATTGATGGCAACGGTATCACGGTTTTGAGTCGCTATGGATACTCGTCTGTCACTCAGAAAACTTTCAGGGAAGTTTCTTTTGGCAATTGTGGAAACATCACCGTCCAGGTCTACCTAAGGCGGAGCTACAGCAACTTCAAGTTACAATTTGGAATTTTAAAACAAGAATTAGGTTAGCCTGCTAAATTCGTTTAATGTTGCTTCAAACCCTGCTACGGAAGCACACAACCCTGTGCACGCTTTGCAGCAAAACAAAGATTTGGGTAGTGCCTCTGATTTGTTGAACATTGGTTTCAACCCATCGGAATCACTAATCACTACCCAGGTCTGTGTATGGGCAGTGACACATCGTCACTACAGAATCTCTGCGCTCGATATTCAGACATTATTTTGCGGGGAAATTCCGATACCCTTCCCCGCCCATCACTCCTTTTTCCACACTCTCCATGGATGATCACCGGTCTTTGAAACTTCCAATTATAATTACTGTCAAACTCAGAAAACCGTGAACACCAGAAAAATTTCCGGAATGTTGATTGTGTACTGGCTAATCACTGTAAAGTTCAGGACACGCGAGCAAACCTCAAACCACAATCTAATTACCGTTGCTGTTTGCGGTTTAGTTATCTCGCGCCTTATTGGCTTATTTCTCGCAACACAATAACATTCCATAAATATTTCTGGTGTTCACGGTTATGTGCGTTTCACAGTAACATGTTACTTTATTTTGCTCTTTTTTTCTTTGTTTTTAGCATTTCCATTGGCTAACTGGAGTGTTTCCTTTGACAATGCTACTGCAACAAGCATCCGATTCTCTTGGCAAAACCTTCAAACACTCGTTGGTCAACAAACAAGTCATTACTTCATAGTCGTCAAAGACTTATATGGTAGTAGTCTAAACGAGTACATCGTCTCAGGAAATACTACTTCCCATGTGTTATCTGGACTATCGGCATGGAGGGAATATCGGTTATCTCTTGTTGGTGTAAATTACAGGGGGAATGCCTACAATAGTACAGAGATCTCAGCATGGACAGACGAAGGAGGTACGTGCATTACAGGGTGTCCCAAAAGTTCGTTCCTCTAGCTCGTTTCATGCGCTATAACGTTTGATCAAAACTAGAAGATGTTTATTGCTCTATCGAGTACATGTATTCCGAATTTCAGTAACCAGCATTCCCCCTTTGTCTTTTTATCACATTCTATAGCAGTTGCGGCATGGAATGGGATACAACGTGTAGAGCCACAGATTATATTTTTTGAGCTTTTGTATCACCTGGTACGCAGGAGCCACTTCATCTCCAGTTCGACCCCCCCTCAAACAACTTTTGTTTTAAGTTTATGCAGATGAAAAAAATATACTTTCAGCATTCATCCAAAAGCTGAAAGATAATCACCCTAGTCCCTATCCACAGTAACGCTTTTGTACCTCTTCACAAATTTGAGACGAGCTAATCGTGTTTGACAGACTAACAGAGGTTTTATTGCCGTCTCTGGGGCCTTTGAATCCTCTAACCGTCGCTTTTATTTTCATGAAACTGCTCTAGACATGGCTTGCTAACTATTGTGAGAGCTATCTCGTTGAGTTGTCTCTTTTGTGACCAACCTCATTCAATATATTTTAGCCGCTTCATTCAGGACTATCAGTCTTCCTCTTCCTTTTTTCTTAATTTCTCGATGACCATTTCACCACCCAAGATTCGAATTTTTCCAGTTTTTTTTTTAGCAGTTATATCTACTGATAATCTGGCAAATCGAAGTAAACATGCTTATGCTCTCAACTAGCTAAACGTTTTTGCGTTTATAGAGAGTTTTTCTTTCATAATATTCACGAAAAACAAGGAAGGAGTTTGAGCAAACCGGGCTCTGACAAAATACACAAAAAAAATTGGCGGGAAAATGCACTCGCGCACGCGCACATTTGGCGCGGAAGTACAGAAATCGAATATTAGAGTCACAAGATGGCACAACAAGCATAAAATCTTAAATTATATTGAAAGACACAACTTTTGTTTAAACGATTTAATTACCAAGTCCAATCGGAGTATAATACAGTCTTATATTGTAGAGGAGCGAACTTTTGGGACACCCTGTATATTACAAACAAATTATTTTTAACCCCGTTGATTCTTTGATTTCCATAACGAAGCATTAACGCTTTCAACTCCGTTCTAGCTAACAGATCTCTATAATGTGTTCCTCATCTTGTACATAAGGACCTGATCGAAATTCTTGTGTTGATTGTCTCAATTTTGCGTGAGAGTCATTCTCCTCTACGAATGAAATGCATTTTTTTTCTTAGTCCCCAACACAGCTCCATCGTATATCCGTCTTT